TTCAAGCAAAAAGTTTCCGTGTGTCCATGATAAGTTGACTGCGAGATAAATGTTTCCACGCCTCATTACTGATAGTATTTTGTGTCTAATAAATGAATTTGCGATGTTAACCACTGAACAAACAATTCTACCAAACTCTTATATTTTTAAGTTACCTGTAAAAACAATCTTTTAAATGAAACCTCAGACGCCCAAATTTATCTTTAAGTCTTACATTCAACACACCACCTAGATGTCTTCATGAACATCTTTGTTTTAGAACACATCCAAGTTTTGCGCGTTGCATTTCCCCTGCAGAAGTAAAGGCTTTGATATCAGTTTACCTATTCTTGGAATAAAAGTGCAACTGTGCCTCTATAACGTGTACATGCATGTTCTATACTGCGAGTTATACTAGAACAAAAGCAAACGCAATATTCCAACGCTAGCGTTAACGCCAGTATCAATACTGTTAGTTTTCAGAAAAATGACGTGGTATCTTGCATATCAGCTCCTATCTTCTTTCAGGCGAATCGTAGTATTCCCATTAAGCTAATAGTATTGAAGTAAACTTTATCTCCGATGGACTAGTAAGTACGACGAAAGTATTAAAGTCGTATAACATAAGCGAAATGTAATTTATCATTATTACGCCGTGTATTATAATCTTCTTTCTCTAAACCATGTTGAATATTTCGAAATTGCAACAACTATGTTTTTAAATTATCGTAATGTAATTAGCGTCGTGCAAGACTTGACAAGACCTGACGTTTTGAATGCCGCATTACTAGTCGATTCGTATGCCCAAGGACACTTGTATGACTTAACAAGAATGTTTTCCCCGCAGGGAGACGTGGGAAAAAGTGCACTTGCGCTTTAACGAGAACAAGACTGTGAGCTTCAACCAACGCAAGATTTTCGTCTTCGATCCGGAACAATCTGCAGGCACCGAGGATGACATGGTCGTCGTCCCAAACATTCCCATGCTGGTGAGTATTCTAAGCTTCTTCCTAACGGACGTTTCTACCGCAAACCTTATCAATGTGTATAACGGTCAGTATATTGCGAATAGTCTCGAAAGTTTCAAAAAAGTGGACCAACAAAGATAACTAATTTAGAAAAACATACACGAAGAAAGTACGAGTAATTTGCTTATTTTTCTTTTTATTCACTTACTTTAAACTGCAACATCTCTTCTAAAATCAAATAAGATGCATTTTCCCCAAAATTACATTTCAAGAGATTTTTTCATGTTCAATGATAACATAAAAATCTCTTGCAAAAGTTAATGGATCGATTTGTAATGCACTGAATGTTAGTTGGTCAACATTTGGATGGAATGTGAAGTTATAGTATAACAAGGAAGTAGGAAGTGAAATGAATTTGATTGTTGCTAACACAATCCTTTTTATTTCGAAAAAGGAGAAACAATTGTTTGTAAAGATGCCATTCGCCCTTTCATATTTAAATTGTGTGCGTTATTAAAGAAATTTTAATATGCAAAACGATTAATATTATTGAAAGTACTAAATTTGAGCAAGAATGATATCTCAAGTTACTTCATTGTACCTCTGTTTCAATTTCGGTGAATGATGGATCATTGCGCCCTCTGTTTTGACGTTTGTCTCTCAGCGCATTCACGTATGGAGGATCGCAAACCTCAAAATTGATATTTTATTTTTTATACATCTATGCTACTTTCAGAACATAAAAAATTCTTCCGAAAGAAAATACAGTTAAAATCATTATGTTTTATTGAAATTTTAATTGAATGTGTGAATTACACACGTTTTTTAAAAAAGCTTCGAAACTAAATAGGCCATTACTTGAAATATACAATTACTGGAACTGAAGAACACAGGTATTGAATTACTTGTATATTATCTAGGGCAGGGATTTCCAGACCTTTTATTGCATTGACCCTTGATTTTTATCTAAAATATGTGTGTCTTGGAATAAAGGTTACAAACTTCTAGGGAACTTAGAAAGTTTCAAAATAATAACTTTTTGCCATTAAATATGTTGTGGGAAATTTCTTATAAGTTGCGCGGATGACACATGGCACTAAAAGCTACCCATGATGTGTTGGTGTTAGATAGCTGGCATTGTCAAAAACTTCGTTGACCCCAAACGCCAATTCATTATGGGTTGCCTACCAATCAGGGGCACAGGCCACGTGTGTAACATTATAAGAAATTTCCCGCCACATGCTTATTGGCAAAAGTGATAATTTGCTATCCCTTTTCATGCCTTCCAAGTTTCTGAAAACTATTTCGAGACGCTCTGTATAGTACAAAATTTTCTACAATGATAACAAATAATTCCACATGAATGACTTAAAGATAACAAAAATGAACAAAAATTATAATGAATCATATAATATAATGGCACAAAACTTGATTACCTTAATAGAAATATTGTAAAATTCCCGAAGATGAGCAAATTTGTAATTTGTTGGATATTTTAAAGCTTTAAATTATAATACATTTAACTATCAACTTCACATTTTTAGAAATAATTAGGATCATGATCACTCACCATGTACAAATTGGGCTGCCGACAACATCGTTTCCAAACCGTTTGGGAACCCTTGTTCTAGAAATGAGTAAGACATTAATTGTGGCCCAATGAGTAATGATACTCTCTGGCAAATTCTAACAATTGAGAAAGTATCTACAATCATTGACTATGTTATAGCTATTAACATACCACGAAATGTTAGTGTTATTACTGCCGATGCCAAAAGTTAAAAATCGGGGCTGAGCGTAGCTGAGCCGAACTTTTAATTTGGACGAGGCAGTAATAACACTGTAACATTTTGTGGTATGTTCAGCGTTTTAACGGTCACCATAAAATCTCAATTTTTTGAGAAAATGTACGACTTTACTGCGATATAGAACACATGAATTCTGTTGTTGCGGCACGATAATCGATATTGTTGGGTATTGCTTGCGATACTTGTATACCTTGGCTCGAGGAAGATGAACGCTGAAAATTGGTCTGTACCACAAGAAATTTCGGTTGCAGCTGCGAAAGCCACGCGAGATTTAATCCCTGAAAAATCTAAAAAACGATACGAGAAGGCATACGTAAAATTTAAAACTTGGCCATTTCAAAATCACGTAGCCGTGATTAAAGAAGATGTTGTTTATTTGCTAAGGATGTTAAAACCCGTTGCTAAGGATTTTAAATTTCTTAACCTACAGGTAGGTATTACTAGTGCAACTTTTCTTGAACGATGACCTTGATTTCCCCTCCCTGACACCATAAACAGTTGAAGATAAAAGCTCGCAGCGAGCACTGATGACAACATTCCAAACACATCTTCACCGGCGCGAAATAGAAACTATTTTCCATTGAAGACGAGAACTTCTGACCGTGATTTTCTTCAAAAAATTTAAACAAATGACCAAAGCATATGAAGATTCATCACAGCTGTGAAGATTCATCAAAGAAATACCTCGAACTCCTAAGAAAATTAGAACGCAAATTATTGAGAAAGTTGCGAAGGCATGACTGATTCTCCAGAGATCGGCATTGCTTCATAAAATATAGTGGCCGATTTCGTAACTAATACTCCCACTCTACCCCCATTTCTTCAATCCATCGCTCAAGAAAAGTTGCGCGAGCAATACAAACTCATAGGGTTGCATGTTAACAAGAGTAAAAGACGCATGTGACCGATAAAAGTGCTTAAAACCTCAGCGCTGAATCCCCCCCTTTAATCTCCTCTTCCCGTGAGGAGTTGCTTCTTGTTAACGCGGAGAGGAGAGTGAACCGTGTCCGCCTTGCCCTCCCCGCAGAGCGCCACGTCGCAGAGCAAGCACGCGGCGCGCTTCCTGCGCCTGGCCATGGCCTCCATCATGGACATCCTCAAGGTGAAGCCCTTCGTCGAGGTGTCGGTGGGGCAGCTGCTCTGGGGCTATGAGGACCCGCTCATCAAGCTGGCCAAGGACGTGGTGCCCAACGACCAGAAGCTGCCCTACGAGCAGTTCGGCCTTCTCTACGGGGTAAGTGTGTCCGTCGGATACGATGTTCTTCAGGATTTGAACGTACGGTTAACAACCTAAATGGAGTTGATTTTTAAACGTTGTTGCCCTTACGAATTCGTTAAATTATTAATCTAGGATATTAACATAAATTGTTTTAATTTTAACTACCGTCGATTTTTAATCCTGTAGTTCCTTCTATAGAAGTAGGATTCTTTTTTAATTTCAGAGAATATGTATATCAAAACTTTTATACACATGTGACATACGCATGTGAGGGTCACATGTGAGTGTCAAAGTTCTCAGTTTGTATCATCATGTCACATAATTTGTAACATCAATTTATAGTCAGAAGGTAATCCATTGTCCTGGATTACATCCTAACTCTAAACTGCATGAAAATATTATTCAACTGATCCTTTAATGTCCTTTTTTAAAATCTTCTTTAGCCGGTAAAATATTTAAGAAAATACTCCTCTCCCTGGAGGACTTACAATGCAAGTTCATGTGTATCCATAAAAGTATCTTACAGAGATATACTTTCTCCACATTTGTTGTGGTCAACATAATAGATAGAGTCGTACAGTGCGTTGAAGCAAATGGAATCGGCAGTCGGCCGTTTCTTGGAGGGTGAGGGACGGGGTCGCGGGTGGTGTGGCTGCAGCTGCAGAAGCTGGCGATGCGCGCGGGCGTGAGGGACGCGGCGCAGCTGCTGGCGGTGGTGCCCCTGAAGCAGCTGGCGGCGACGCTGGCGTCGGCGGTGGCAGCGGCGGCGGCCGTGGCGGTGTCGCTGCTGAACGCCGGGCTTGAGTCGCAGGCGCGCCACGTCGCCCGCCTGCCCCCCGGCCGCGGCTCAGCCCGCGCCTGGGGCCTGTTCGGGCCTTCGGTCGGTGCACGGGCGGCTGCGTTGTGTGCTCTTTTCGCTTTGTTCTGAAACGGTTTTCTCCCCCTTTCTATTTTAGGTGGAATGCTTCACAATATTCGTTTCTGCACGCTCTGTCGCCTCCGTAAATGCACTCGGAGCCCATTAATCTTGAATGTAAATTACTTGATTGTCGTGTGTTTCATGCTCGATAAATCGTCTTGAAATATGGCTTTAAAGCATGCACAAAGACTTGTTCGCGTGAAAGTTTATCTCTTTCGCGGAGAGGAGGCTGGGGGTTTTCTTCCAAATGAAAGAAAACTGTTGGCGAAGAGGCGTTCGTGGAGGCGGCATGGGCGAGAGTGTGGCACTGCGCACGAGTTCTGTGTTTGTTAAGGTGTGGCAGCACTTGCTTTGTCAGAATAACAAAACACTGTTTTCGCAGTCTTCACAGCTATCCACGAGTGATTTGTTTATGTGATTGTTTTTTCTTTGCAAAACCATACAAGGAGTTTGATTTTTGTTTGTTTTATTTTTATGGTTGCACGATTTGTTTTGTGGTAATATTATCTTTCTGAAGTTTGTTTGGTGATGGTGGCGGTGATGATTGGGTCATTATCGTTTGTATTATCTGCAGAGGGATGCAATTTTTGCCCAGAAACTAAAACTAATAAATTTCCGGGTCTTTTAAGTAACTATCTCTCAGATTCTAATAAAAGTTGAGGAGAACAATTCGTATCATTACAAAAGTGGAACTCAGTGGAATCTTTGAAATTTTAAAACGTTCTAGAATAGTAAAGTATGATTTCAATAATTTCATTGCATTAAACGCGTGAAATAAATTAAGTTGTAACGAAAGACGAGCTTATTGACAAATTAATTTTTCACATTTTTCCTCAATGGTATTCCTTATACCATCAGAACGTAATATTTGTACAAAAAGATCTATGTTACAGAGTACAAAGTACTTTCTACGTTCAATTGACTTTCATTGTTTGTGACAATTCATTGGAAGTCCATCAAATACCGACTGTATCCAAAACGCTTATCGATAATGACACGCGTTTTTGTGTTTAAAGAATGGAGTTTTATATGATTTCTGTCTCCGTAAGACAGTGTTTTTATTGAATAAAAGTAACGTATCTGTAAAATGGGCTCTTCCGTCCATTTTGACGCCAGAATCCGGGATATTGCAACGGGGCGGGGGGGGGCAGTGTATAACCTCCCGGGGCGTTGGATTTGACTGACGGCCCTGTGCGCTTTGCAGAAGAACGGCACGTCCAAGGACCGCGTGACCATCTTCACGGGCGCCTCCGACATCACCCGCTACGGCCTGATCGACCGCTTCAACGGCAACAGCTCCCTCACGCACTGGAAGACGCCCGCATGCAACCGCCTGGACGGCAGTGACGGCTCCATCTTCCCGCCGCACATCAAGAAGAGCGACACCATCTACGTGTACGACAAGGACCTCTGCCGCATCCTCCCGCTCGTGTAAGTGGCTCCCACGTGCACTTCTCTGGGGGGAGGGGGGGGAAGATGTAGAAGGTTCGTGACCCGGCAAGTCAAGGGACCATCGTCGTGGAAATTGGGTTATGTGATCACTAAGTACTTTTCCTTGAACCTATTATTGAAAATATATTGCCAAAATATTTTTCTAGTTTAATCGTAATTTGTGTTATTTGTTGAAATAAAATAACTCGTATAATTTCTTGATACAACTTTCACAGATTTAATTGGCGGGGAGGGGGATACGTTTCAGCATTGCCCTGGGCCCAAAATTATCTAGCTTCGTTACTGTTCATGGATACGCACGTTTTCCACGAGGGTAGGCAAATGGTATTTTTAGATGCAATTCGCGAGTACTGAATGATCTTTAAACTTAATGAAAGAAATATTTACGAGTGAAAAATGTTCAACTCGGTAGCAAACGTATATTTTTTATTGTTATATACAAATGAAGGACTTCAGCAACTCTTCTCATGTTCTGAACCAAACTTCTTTGTCGTTCCTAATATTTTTTCTCTCTCAATTTTGGCTCTTATTAACTGCCAAAGGATTCTGATTAAGGATCAAATGTGTTTGTCCCTCTATTGGGAAAATTGGTAATATTACTTTTTTAAATGTTTTGTGATCAATGTTTCATTATGTATGGTGCCAAAGGTAAGAAGTTAATTGGTGATGTGTGTGAACATCGCTATTATGTGTTTCCAGTGGTAATAATTCACCTTTCTCGATTTTTAATAACATTTCAAAAATTTGTTTTAAATAGTTCTGATATTATTTTAGTAGAATAAAATTGTTATAAGAATGTATTATTTAAGAATTTACTGCACCAAAGGGAAATTCAAATTCTCATAGTATTTGTAAAAACACAGCCATTAGGAATATTTTTTTCTTATTACTTTTGGCTAACAAACATACATATTTCCAACAACTGATTCTATACTACATACTTTCAATATACAATTAGTAAGCATTCACAATTTAGCTGGGGTTGACTGGATTAGCTGGGGAAATAAAGTTGATTTTCTAATATATTGCAAAACGAAAACTTGAAAACTGGTGTTTATTTGCAGCTTTGAATCTGAAGTGGAGACTGCTGGTGGGGTACCTGGATATCGCTTCACGCCTCCCCTCGATGTTTTTGGTGATACCACCGAGAATCCAGAGAACGAGTGCTTCTGCCCTGGTGGGCCCCCCTGTGCCCCAAGTGGCTTTTTCAATGTCAGTCTCTGCCAATATGGTGAGTCAACGTTTATTTTCTTGTCATAAATTAATTTAACTCCATCGCATATCAGGCAGGGAACACGTGTACCCCAATCTCACTTTTTTAAATGTTGTGTACGTTTTGCTTATTTCATGATATTCAAATTTCGTTACATTGTCCAAAATACTTCCGTTGACAATTACGTGTCAAAGAAAGTAATTGTTTTAAGGTGTTTTACGTTTTCTACTTAAAAACAAGCACTGAGCCACATTGTATCCCACTTAGTGTTCTGCTTCAAACATTTTTAATCCTTATTAATTATTAGAACCAGAGGTAGAAAGGGTACAATGACATGCAGAAAGCATTCATCATTTATGTGTAATGCACATTCAGATACAAAAATAATCGAAATGTGTATCCGTTGCCTAAAAGAGGAATAACATTGAAAGATGTTTTTTGATGAAGTGTATTGGTGTAATAAAAGAGAAACATAGGAATAAATTTTCTTAATTCTATTAAACTTGTCTTAATTTACTTAAAACTAACTACTTTAACAAAAAATTTAACTTGGTAGTTGATATGCCTTTTGATTTCATTTAATAAATTAAGAGTTTTAAAAGTAGATTTAAATTAAGATTCTGAGGTTTTAATCAAATAATAATATTGGTAATGATTGGTAGTTAAATACAGTTTTATTTTGCTTCAATCTTCTGACACAACTTCTTTAACAGCAACTATTGAAATATACACATATCTCATTGTGATTTTCCATCCTTTTTCAGATTCACCAGTTCTACTGTCCTTCCCACATTTTTATCTTGCACCTGAAAGATACCGTCTTGCCGTTGAGGGAATCAGTCCACCAAAGAAGGAGGATCACCAGTTCTTCCTGGATGTGCAGCCTGTGAGTGAACCATAACTAAATTTGATTTTAATACAAGGAAAGATTATTTGATTATTTCAATGTATATATAAATAATTTTACGTACATGGATTATCACAGTTTGAATGTTCTGTAATTTATTTTGCAATATAATAATTAATGAAAGGAGTCATTTTAATTAATTAATACATTAGCTCTCTTTTGAAGATACTTGCACAAGTTATCTTACAGATATTATATGCTCAAAGAAAAGATAGTTTTTGTTCTAAAATTATATTATCTCATGTCAATGTCATACACATTCAAAATTATTTTGCTGATTTAAAAAACTACCAAAACAAAAACAAAAAAAACTTCAGCTTTGTCCACCTTAGAGTTTTTACAGACATTAAATAGTCTTTTCTTCACATGGTTCAAATTCCTCATCAGGTGCAGCAGTTCTCTACATGATGATTCTCTTTATAAATGACATTCATGAAAATAATATCATAATGGCGGATCTCATAAGCCCAGATGCACAACATATAACTTATGTTTATCTTATTCTATAACCTTTATGTTATTTGCTTAAGTGCTCAGAGTAGATTAAATTGATTGTTATTGCATTCATATAGAGCTTCCGACACTATACAAAATGGCTAATGATTACAATCCATCGGTCTAGATGGCCAAGATTGTTAAGGCAGTAGTGCCGTAGCGATCTTGGACCCAAGGATCGCAGGTTCGAGTCTTGCCTTGGGCATGGTTGTATTTGTGTCCGTACGTTCACTCCCTCTCATCATAATATCTTGTCATATTCACAATTACCGTTACCAAAAAATACAATAGTGGTCACTAATGACCCAGATGTTGATGCGATCTTAAATAACAAAACAAAAAAGAAATATTGAGAGTAGCCAAACTCATTGTATTACCATTAATCACATAGGCATTCATTCAGGATACATTCTGTAATGAAAGAGCATATAATCATGTTAAAAACTGGTTGGGGAACAAAAAACATATATATTACAAATTGCTCGAAGACAATTATATGCTTTGATTTATTTTGTCAATGAACAGTAAAAATTGTATGTGTATGGGGGAGAAGTACAACCTGTTCACATTTTCTTGAGCTCTGGAATCTCTTGAGCCTTCCCCATCTTTCTTTCATTCTTTCATTCAATCTCACTCCTGAGTAATAATACACTTGGGCTAATGTGCTCATGAATAATCAGTTTACTAATGTAAAGTGGTCTCTTTTAGCCACTTATAAGATAAATAATTATTGATTAAAACTTTAAGTAATTAAAACTTAACTGAAAACCAGGTAGTATTCACTAACATTACAAGATAAATCTCTTCCGTTTGCAGTTTACTACAGTGTAATACTATTGTTTTAATGTTTGACTGTAAATAGTTTTAATATTGTTTTTACATTTATTATAGTAACACCAATATAGTAGGTCCATATTATTTAACATAAATTTCAGTTACTATCCAGTTTTATTGTTCTCTTAATTGTTACTGAAGTGAGAGTTCTTCACTATCTTTTATTGTTAGAAGAACTTCGCAAGAAGAAAAGGTTGGGAACTTCTGTTCTAAATGATAACATTAGAAGTTAATTCCTTACTATAAACACAGTCATTAAAATTTATGGTGAATGTTGTTTTCAATAAAGTAAATCTCTATTGCTGGGAGAAATTTCGGGAATTTTGTTGGCCAGTTTTATTCTCAGATATAATGAAAAGTAGTTTACGTGAACATGAACATGAACATGCACATGATTGTTGAAGAATTTGACAAATCTTGTCCAGAAAATTGAATCAATAAGTATCTTCACAGTACTTCTATACAATACCAGCTTTGGAATGAAATTAATTTTGCAACAGGCAACTTTGTTATAAATTTTGTGAGTTAAGCCTAGCCTAAGTGTTGTTTCAGCCAAGAAACTGTAATTTTCAAAAGAAAGAAAGAAAGAAAGATGAGGAGCTTCATATTCACAGCTTTATTTTCTATCAATAGCCTCTTAGTGGTCTAAAACCTGTATGACAGTTGTAGCTTATGTATTGCAGTTGTAGCTTATATAATGCATATTTATATGTACAATTCCTTTAGTAGTTTTGATATATAATATCAATATTTGCAAAATGTACAGTAATGAGGGTTATTTTAGGTCAATAACTCATTTTAGAATAAATTTATTACTGCTTCAGTTTATTACTAAAGCAAAAATTATATTGAACACCATTAATATGATTGTTCTTTCATTTTTCATTATTTTCAGCAAATGGGTGTGTCGCTACGAGCACGTGCTCGTGTCCAAATCAACTTGGCTGTCAGCCAAGTGGTGGATATCAAGCAAGTGGCTACTTTCCCAGACATAATCTTCCCTATTATGTGGTTTGAAGATGTAAGTATGAGTGTTTTGTTATTTCAACATAAAATACATAAATGAAATTTTTAACAGTTTTAACTTCGGAGTACAATTCACTATGTACTGAAAGAACAGAGAATTCTGTTGACTACTAAATTTGTTACATAATGACATGTTATGAGATATGGAAAAATATCACATAGATGTACGAGTTATAGAGAAATATTACATAGATGTACAAAATGTAGAGAGATGTCACGTACAAGTAAGAGATAAGAAATAAAGTAAAATCCACGTCACACGTCCAAAACCTATTAACAAGGAACATTGACTAAAGACTTTGGAGTACTTTTTGAAAATTGCTTTTTTAAAAACTTTCTATTAAGTAACAAGACTTTCTGTTCACAACAAATTTGAAGTTCTTATACTCATTTCCTTAAAAAGGATTTAAAATTAAAGTATCAAATGTATTTGTGATATTCATTCTTCATTAATAATTATTAAAATAATTCAAACTTCATTGTCTAATTATTGGGATGTGAAAGATACATAATGAGTTTTGTGCTTTGCAGGGAATCAATGAGCTCCCTACTGAAGTGACATCATTGCTGTCTCTGGCAACAAGAGCACCACCCATTGCTCGAGCTGCTATCTCGTATGGTCTATTTGCTGTGGGTGCTCTATTGCTCCTGATGGCTGTGGGCTGTTTAGTGCGCTCCAGCCGGCGTCAGGAGACGTTGCGTCTGCAGGCTTCAAACCACTACACCAAGCCCACCCCTACCCCCAACCCACATGCTGCTGCTGCAGCCGCAGCTGCTGTGAATGGCAAGAACGGCAAGACAATGGAGACCCTCAACCCCACCTTCCTCATGGGGCCCAATGACAATGGCAATGCAGCAGCCAATAGTTAGGCTCCCTCCTCATCACAAGCATCGCCACAAATGGAGAGAAAAATGATGGGCTGATGACTTGTGTAGATGCTCAAGAATGTACATATATATCATTCGTTATGTAGGTCCATATATAGGTGTGTTGTGGATTGCATGAGAAAGAGTGAATGAGTGTTTGAATGAGCAGCTATGTTTAAAAGATGGGCAGGCGTTACGAGGTCAATTTCAAATGATCATGAACTTTCCAAATTTTAGCAAAGTGTATCTCAAGAGGTGCTGTGGATGAATGGTTCTCTTAAAGAGATCAGGATATCCGTTATGTTTTAAGGATTGTAATTAAGGGATGAAGTTAATTGTTGATATTGCAGTTGAGAAAGGCTTGGTCATGTCAATCAAATGTGCCTTTTATAGTGGTACTTTTAAGATATTTAACTCATTGTTTAGTAGTTTTATCTGACGGAGTTCAAATCTTACATATTGATTGAATTGGAACCAGAGCATTCATTTCTTTTTATGAGGCTACACAAATGTCACAAATAGGAGACACAAGTGAATGCAGTACCTGCATTTATGATTGCTCAATAAACTCTGAGATTGAACACCTGATTTTATGAACATGTACATTACAGTAATCCAAATGTGAAAAATTTCTGAAGTGTGTTGGAAGTATGTTCACAAAAGATGTTTCTTTATATGAAAATGTTTTCACTGTATATATAAATAAAATAAAAAATTCTTCCGTTCTTGTTTTTTTCTTTTATCTACGATGAAAAATAGTGATTCCTTAACTTCTGAAAGGTGCTATAAATACATCAACATGAAAATGAAATAAGGTTTCCTATTAATATAAGCAATAAATTATATATTCATAAATTATTTGTTAGGTACACTTTTAAGGAAACTTTTACCACCCTCTTCATTAGTGGTGAATCCAGGGGGAGGGGCATAGGGGTCAAGGGGGCCATGCCCCCCTCCAAAGAGCTTTAGAAAAACAGGTTTCCTTTTTTTTTATTTGCCAAAATTTATTTAAATTCAAGTTAGAATGATGTGAATATTAAAAAAAATATTGTATAATATCATATACACACTACAAAAATATAACATATATTTATTTCACAAAATCTAGGATGCACCCACCACAAACATACAAAAAAACTGGCTGAAACCGCCTGTTCTTCACGTACCATATGCTACGTACCAACCTTCACGTACCAATTTAGGAGGAACCATGTATGCAAAACCCTGAGAAAAGATTTACTCTTTCTCTTGAGAAACAGTTTAGTAAACATGCATATCCGAACAGCAGCTCTGATACCCCAGAAGCCAACATGTTTGCTAAAACTCTTGAAATCATTCTTCAAAAGGAACCCTGCAAATTTGATCTAAACTGGTTAGGGAATTTCTCCCCAGTTTCACAATAAACAGATTTAAAATGAAAAAATAAAAGTTTGCAGATTGAGACACAGAACAGATTTCTGTAACACTATCACACATTGGAAATAATGTGTTTTAGACCCTAAAAGTACTCATATATCTGAGTTTTAAAATTTGTATTTGTGACATATATCTGAGTTTAAACATGCTTACTTGTATGATTAAGTATTAACTATGTCACAATATAAATTTCATATTAATTATTTCATCTGATATGTCTTTTTTCCTTCCAAAAGGGAAAAAGCAGATTAAGATTCATTAGCTCTAATATGGTCTGTGGGTCTGTGTGAACACTAAATCTCTAACTACAAGAAACCATTTGTCCAAAATGAATACTTTTATGTGACAACTTAAGAACTTTACATTAGTTAAAATTGCATTTTCAAAATGTCTTACAAAATGATCTGATTTTCCTTTCATTTTCAGGGATTATGGCCAACTAAAATACAAATGGCCGTGGGATGTGGCATATGCATGCGCATTCGGAAAGGTACCAATAAATCAAAAAACAGCAAACTTATAAACAAACGATCTTAAGAATTGAAAAGTAGATATCTCAATGCACAAGAAACAATTAAAAACCAAAATTCCAATTTTTCACATAAAAACATTTGGAGGGAGACAAGTACTTTAAAACCCAATGAACTTGGCTCAAAAGAAGCTCATTCTAGTTTATTTTTTTAATGTATTTAGTTATTTTACATAAAAATAATAGCACAAAAACAGCAAATATTTTCAGAAAATTGTACAATATATTATTAACTTCAATTAATTTCATTTCAAGAAAAAACATCTTCAATGATGAAGTTGTAAGGTGTGTAAAAATATTCAAACTTTTGTAATTTCTGTTTTAACAGTATAAATCAGATGAACTCCATCTTAAGAAGTGTATTTTACTCTATTCTTACAGGAAATTTAAAGAAAAAAACTTTCGCGCTGTTTGAGAGAATTTTATAGAGGATTCATGTAAAGTACCTTCAATATATAATGAAATGTTTTCAAAACCAAGGTTTTGAATCTGGTCAGTTTGTTGACGGAATATTTATTTTTGAAAAATCCTACAAATTAGTAGCGTAAGCTATTACGTAATAGCGCCAGCATAAGTGTGTTTCACACACGATGGAAAACAGAATGACGGACGGGGAGACATTTTGAAACATACACTTTCAGTATCGGGGGACGCCAAAACGTATATTCCCACTATTTTGATTTTCCGCAGCATTATATGACATTCTCTATACTACTTATTTACTCTGAGGATGCACAGAAACGCAGAAAGTAACTAGTGGAGCTACCACAGCATGTACTTTCTCACATTTCTCTGTGTAAAATGTTTGTAAAATATTTCTCTGTGTAAAATGTAAACTTTTTTTGTCCTGTCTCTCATGTCGTTAATATTTACATTAGAGGCGATTTGTTAACATTATTATATTTATGAGTACATGTTTCTTAAATAATGTCATACAAAGTTTCTTGAAAACTCATCCATTTTCTGTGAAAACTAGTTCAAAATTCCCTACTTTTAGAAAGTTCAAACGTCATTTTCTGAAAAACGGCTCCAAATTTTGTCTTCAAACTTTTCGAACAGGTATTGCAAATTGCACTCTTTAATAAGATGTAAAGTTAATTTTGGGGTATATATTTTTTTAATTACACAAATGTAATGTTTTTGGAAGATATCTCACGCCTGTAATATGCACATTTCCAGCAATTTGTAAACAGTATTGTATTAGTTAAAGTACTTTAAATCACTTTAAATGAAGTTTTTCAAAGTCAAAACTTTTCTGTGAAAAAGAGTTTCAAGTTTTGAACGAGGTTTTACTGTTCTTTAATATTCCTAAAATAATATTTCCGTTCTATTACTAAGAAACTGAAAAAATTAGAATTTTTTTAAAAGAAATGTACTTTGGGCGGCGATAGATAGCAGCAGGCTACAGTATGTGGCAAGTTCGAATGGCTAGCCAATAACAAAGGAAATAGAGAAAGAATACGGGAAAGTCTGTGCCATTCAGTAGCACCACTAGTTTTAAGTTATAATCCGAATTTCTAGTTGTACTTTCTAAATTATTTAAGGTGCTGAGCAACGGCATTTTTCTTTCAACATTTTGTGAAGCAATGCTTTACTCGTGCATACGAGTCTTAGAGGAAATAGTGTATGATTGTATGCATTTTACATGTATTCTCGTTTGTACACAGGGTATTAAATATTAATTATTTTTACACACTTCGCTTCGGAGTTGGGTGACATAATAACCCGATTAATGCTGCTCCAAGCGGAGGTCACGGCGTAAGTGTGAACAAGATCCAAATAAATGGGTATATGGATCTTGAGTGTGAACATGATTCGATGAAAGCCCCCTATGAAAACTCAGAAGCGACGTCATGTGATACTCAATGGTCCTTATGGGACGAGGTCTCAGCAAGGTTTTGTTTCGAAAACGTGAACGGCAACCAAGCCATATCGGTTCGTCAATGTAATACTTGTATGGAAATTATATAAAGAGGAGCAGAAAAAAGACATACTATTAATGATATTGAAATAACGAAGTGTACATTCTATTTTGTACAATTTTGGGGTGTTGTGTGAACCTGTGAACATTATAAAGAACTGCCTCTGATTGTATTAGATGTACAGTGAGAAGAATTTGCCACCGAGCTTAATGGCACAGCAAATTAGATTATCTATGTAGCACTACGTGGTCTCCTCCGCAGCAGTAAAAGCGATGGGCAGGGCTGGAGTGCTGTGTCGTAGATGGTTCTGCGAGGGTGGAGACGAAAGAGCCCTCATTGTGTGATCTCTTCATCTGAAGCGATCGGCCCGAACTCTCACTTAGGGCAGAAAATGAGTCGAGAACTGTCGGCAGAGGAAGGGGCGCGAGGATTTGTTCGTCTATCACGGGCTGATTTCGTTTTTCATTCGCCGGAATATGCATTTCTTTACCTACTTTTCCTGCCGGGACTTTCGAAAATAATACTCTCCGCGAATTAACTTAGTGGAGCTAGTAAAGCATTTTACGTATTATTTTTAACTGCTCCGTTAAACTATTCGACCACATAAATCTACAAAAGTGTTTTCAACCAGAAAAAAATGTTCTATTGTAATTTATTTACTTACAATTGAGATATTATTTTTAAGAATGTTGAAATTTAATAGTGCTAAACACGCAAGATGCCAAAAGATAATTTTCAGTTTCTTAAAAATTTTATTTACATTTGAATTGTCTGTTAATTAACTAGCAACGTATGTTTTTAACAATAAAATAGCAATAATAATAATATATATTTTAGAAAGAGTATAATCTAAAAGTAATAAAATAAATTAAAAGATTAAAGCGTATGAAAAAATCTTTCGGAAAACGAGAATGCATTCGATAACTTGGCTCCGCAGCCTACAGATTGGTAAGAAAATGCCATAAATTGTTAGAAAGTCCTGCACCGATGATTCTCTGAGGTTTTCCCGGCGTAGGCAAGCATGACTGGGGATGAACGAATCCCCCCCCCCCCTAGCTGACACAGAAGGCTCGGATCAGCCGCCAAGTGCTGTTTTTCTAACGAATTTCCCCTTTTTACAATTTTCTGCTACTGTGTGAACTCTTTTGGTGGAGTTTATTTGGTCCCTTCTATACGGATCCCTATACGCTGCTCTGTACTCTAATACCAAATGCACAATACGTATATGTATATGTATATCTAGTTCTCTACATTTACCACTTTCCTTCCTTAACAATCGCATTACAAAATGTAAAGATTTTTACGTCTCCCTAACAATGAAGTTGACGTGGTCCCCCATCCTAATTGTTCATTAATTATCATCCTCAGATATTTATACAAGAAAGTAACTGTGAAAGTATTTTACCTCCAAGCAAATACTTTCCTGTCCTTTTATTTTTACTACGCGTTAAACTTACTGAATTGCATTTATCCGGATTTATCTTCATTCCGTTGATTTCTGTCCATTCTTCCAAGCATCACAAGTAGCGCTGTAATTTATCCTGATCCGATATGTACCCGATCTTTCCATAAATAAGGCAGTCGTATGCAAAAGGTTTGATTTTTTAGCGTTGTCTCTGTCATGTCATTTACATACATGAAATATAGTAAAAGACAGTACACTCCCCTGCAGAACCCCAAACGTTACACTAACTCTTTCCGACAGGCACTTACCCACTAATACAAAAGAAAAGGAGCGAATTAGTAATATACTGTTATTATATGTTTTGTTGCTTTTTATCTGAAATCAATTGATTCACCAGAAATTTTGATTTTTTTTGTAATCAATGAACTCTTGATTATACCAACCAATCATATTCGGCTAAGGATGGCGCCAATTATTTTGAAAATTTTGAAAATGTCCCAGGGGCTTCGTGTAAAGTACCCCACAAAATTAAAATATCTGTTTCAAATGCCAGTGTCCGCGACATCAGCTTGATCGATCAGGAAATATAAATTTTGGAGAAAATCGGCTGAACGGTTTAGCCACAGAGTAATGATACCTACTTAGTCTATGGTTTAGCCGCTAGTGTTGTTCACAGACAGATGAACGGACAGATGGATAGACAGACGAACAGGCAGACGTATTGCCTTCAATCGATTTTTCGGTATCAAGGACCTACAAAACAGGGATTCTGGCTGCACTACATGTTACTGGATTTTTTTTTTTAATAGTAACTGGATTTATCCACTTTTTTGTTAGCATGGCCCGGCAATAAGAATTTTTCTGTAGGAAATTCGCCTTTTCCCCCGCCACATTACATAACTTTCTCTTAAAAAGTTCCCACTTAAGAGCGAGAAAGTAAAAACAACGAATTAATTCGCAATCACAAGCCAGAACCTTAAAGATACCTGAAAATTGCAATTGTTTTTGTAAGGTTTCTAACGCAATCTGAAGTAAGTATTATTGGACATTTTAGACCAATAACTAAACATCAACAGCTTAACTAACTGTAAATAGTTTTAGATATACCAAACTTCTTTGCCGAATTAAAAGCAAAAGTCGAATTCGAAGTAAATGTTTAAAAGGCATTCAATTCATTATTACGTAACATTGCTGCAAGTCGGAATGTGAAAGGTAATTGAATCCCCATAAGTCACTATCTTTTGAATTTTTTATTTTTGTGAGAAAATAGAAACTGCAGGATATGTGCATTGTTCCATCTGTAAATCATGTAAATAAGATGAATAGAATGGCAAGGACATTGCAAAGTTTTGGTTTGGGTTTGAAACTGTAAAGTCATTGTCTTGCGGGATATGTATGACTATGTATACAGTGTGTATGACTGGGTTATCATTGAGAGATTGGTTAAAACGGATCTATGTTCTATCGGAAATATTCCTATGTAGTATCATAGAAACGCATACATATGACTGCCACAGCCTGGCGATGTCCTCCGTGCCATGCGAAAAAGCGATTAGTTTCATTGGCCGGTTGCGGCAACCCGCTACCGAAGCCATCTCGTATGTAGGACAGCGCAATCGCAAGGTGGCGGTTCAACATTGCAAGAGGCATTGAAGGGTGTCAAGTGTGCGTTACGATACTTAATGCAGCATCAAGTAAGGAGAAAGCACAAACCCTGGAGAAGGATTTGGAGAAATTACAATTGAAAAATGTAGGAGGCAAACAATTGAAATTAGTGATTTTTAAGGAAAAATAAAGATATCGAAATTTTCAGTTCCCATTGTTAATGTATTATGCTGTATATCTATATTAATAAAATCTTTCGTTACGGAGAAATTCTACTTCATTTTGACGTCCTCGGATACTATAGTGAACCTCTGATATAGTGAACCAAAAATGTTAGTCCCCAGAAGTTCACTATAACCGGAGTCGACTATATTTCAAGTAACTGTTTCTGTTATATGAATCAGTTTGTTGTTGATGCACATTGTTATTTTACATATTGTAATAAATGTGTCAAATTACAAACTGTACTTGCAATGTTAATTTATTTACATGTTTAGGTGAAAAAATCCTGAATAGTTTTTGAAATCCTGTAAGTCATAAACTTTTAAATAAGTCCAGCGACTATTGTACTACTGATACAAGTAAATTGCATGTCTCCCTAGCATTCTCAATCAAGATTTATGCAACAGAAATAAAAAAAAGAGAAAGTTCTCTATGTAGTTAATTGTTTTAATAGTTTATCTCCTTTTCCCACAACCTTACAAATACTGGCTCGCGGGGATTTAAAAATAACCGATACAATTTTGAAGTACACCCATTTTCAGACGGATGTATTGAGGTTATTAAACGTGAACTTAAAATCTACTCCCGGCATCATTCCATTCACAAAGCTTCAGTGAAACCTTCTCTAGGCAAAAATGTACTAGACCCCTGAAGATTAACTCGCGGGCGGATGGGAGGCTTTGGAAAACCCGACAAGAAAACAAGATTCAGCAGGAAAGAGGGAGAGGAAGGGCTCGCACTCTCAAGATTTGGAATTTCCTGGGAGCTTATTTAAAGAACAAAAACAATTATTTTTAGGGTAGCATTGAGAAACAAAAAAGTAATAAATTTCTATGTAATTAATTTTTATTTATATCTTTAATTTCTTGGTTTTCTTTTGACTTTAACTTGACATCAACTTAGCACCGCGTTTACGGAAAATTGCATTTCTGGTATTATTTAAAGAGAAACAAAATTTCTTTTTTGGGAAATACTGAGCAACAAAAAAGCGACATATTCCTATGTAATTATTTTTTTATCTCTGTAATTTCGTGTTTTTTTGTCAATGCTATGGTAACTTGATGTCAACTTAGCCAAATGCTAAATAACAGGGACAAATGAAGTGCGACAAATTTTATTTTTAAGTAAAAAATTAGCGACAAAATTTGAGTTTAATTTCAATATTTTTTGAAAACTGGTATGCTAACTTTACGGACCTCGTCTTTTCTCTATCCGTCGTCCGTACGTTTTGCCCATCGTGGTCACACCTGGCCACACGTGCAAAAAGTACGGATAATTCCTGTTAGATGGCGCGCATAGCGGAAAATGTCAGCCGATAATTTGGGACTTACCGCGTGTCCATGTGTTCATGTTTCTTCTTACCAATGTAGTTGGTATAGTGTGTTGATATTTGAGGTTAAGTGTGATAAAAAGGGACATGCATTTGATATTTGGAGATAAATAACTGACTTGAAATTGTAATGATCTATTTACATTTTACTGACTAAAAGTTCTTGGAGGTAAGAGTGTTATTAAGACGTATAGTGTGGAGAAAAATGACTTGTTAATAGAGTGGTGCTGTGAGTTCTCGGTTCTATAAAGAAGACCACTAATTAGTACACCCATATCCATCATGCCGTCGTGTAAAGTTCATAATGTAAGATTCTACAATTTGGAACCAGTAGCCATTCACTGTATGTCCTATGAGCCAAACTACAGAAAACTTGCTCTGTCTAGGTGAGTGCTTTCATAACATGTTTGTGTTGAATACATTCTGACTTATGTGATGCTCATGTGATATTTTGTATGTGTGATTTAGAGGTGACAATCGGATAGAAGTCTGGGACTTTAAAGATGTCCCTCATATGGAATGCTTACTGCCAAATTTGAAAAGCAACTCTGTGGAGTCTCTTGCATGGTGTGATCAGCGATTGTTCAGTACAGGACTTCAAGGATTTGTAGTTGAATACAACTTGCTTACTTTGTCTATAAAGGTAAATTCTTTCATTAATCTTAATTTTTAGTTTTATCTCTAATCATCTTAAATAGTAACATTGGTATAACATCAGCTTAACTTATCAGTTGTATTATTGGGTATATAATCTGCTGTAATGCTGAAAATAAAATGCTAGAATATTGTAGCTTTCCCATTTAGAGGAAACATTTGTCTTTCATGATTTTGCAATTGTTCTGTCTTTTTGTTCTTGATGTCTGTAGTACATAGAGGTCAGTTTCATATTTGCACTTTGCAATCAGAACATCGTAAACATAAGTGTGCATGAAAATGTTAAAAGAAAAGGAATAAATAAAAAAAATTTTAAGCCCTAATTGAAATTCTAACCCATACATTTGTTTTACAAGTACCCTAGATTGTATTACAGAAAATTAATTGCTAAATTATATTTTACAGTATCAGCAAGCTGTGACAGCAGGTCCTGCTTGGTGTCTTGCTGTGAATAAAGAGAAAAATTGTCTTGCGGTGAGGATAAAATTATTTTTATTTCTATTTTTACCCTGCAAATAATGGGCTTATCTTTTTCTCATGTGCACAATTTTAAAGGTTGGAACTGAAGATGGTTACATAAATTTATTTGCCATAACAGAAGAAGGATTAATGTACGAGAAAATAATGGATAAACAAGAAGGTAAAAAGTTGTATGTTAATTTTGATGTTTTTACTTTACTTTAGTTAGGCTACTCCAGTTGCAGTCGCTGAGAGAAGGTAGGGAGGGCAGTAACTTACTGTGTTTTGGAGAACAAAGATAACAGTAATTTTGTGTTGGCTAGTCTCTAGATTGTAAATTTTGAAGGCTGGAGCCTTGCTGTTTACTTTGAACTGCATAAGCAAGTTGAGTTAACTTGACCATAAAAGTTTACAATAGAACCTCGTTAATATGAACCTTGCAAATCCGATATTTTTTTGAAAAATTTGAACCCAATTCGGGATGGAGGAAAAATAAATAAAATACATATTTGTAGTTTACACAATATTCAAAAAATAAACAAAATAAATAAAATTCTTTGTAGTGTAAATGTTTACTGAACTGGTAACAATGGTGTATAGCACATGTTTATGTAGCTGTAATTTTCACATAGAGGAACTTACAAAATTAGTAAACTTATTTTATCGTAAGGAACTGAATCTGTCTAATGATGCGATGTGAAGTAATGATATGACCGTTATGCTACGTTGCCATTTTCTCACATAGCACGATATATTGGATTGTCTGGTAATCATATAGATGTATTTGTATATGTACGGTACATTTTTCAGATAATCCGAACAGACCACGCTCATAATTAGTTCGAATTACCAAGGTTCTTCTGTAATTTGGCAATTTTTGGAAAGATTATTTGTAGTTACATTTAGTTTGTCTTCTTTTATGCTAAAAAACACATGCAGGGTACTAGCTCTCAGCACTTTCAAGTGGATTGGCCTAGCTAAAGCAAAGTTTAACTTTTGTTTTAATAGACATAATTATTAACCTTATACATTTTTCATAGGTCGTATATTATGTATTGCTTGGGAGAGCTCAGGTAATATGATTGTGACTGGCTCATCTGACACCATACGTATTTGGAATGTGGAAACCGGTCATGCCATTCATAAAATGACTACTGGTCGTGATCAAAGAAATAAAGAGACAATAATTTGGTGTCTTGCTGTAACTGATGATTTTACTATTGTCACTGGAGATTCAAGGTAAAGATATTAATATTAACAACTAGTAGTTTACAGCAGCAAAAATGTTGCGGAACAAAACCCCAACAATTGTTATCCTCAAAGTAGCATGCACACTGCTCAATGACAAGTAAAACACTTTTGTATAACACTGCAATAAATTAAATAATAAAGAAAAAATCTTCATAAGTACATACTAGAAATATAAAGAAATTGCTTTTCCATAACCAATGTGAATACCAAATATTTAATGGCAGTGATGCACTGGGTACGATAATTCAATTGCTACACACAATATGAGAATAGACAGAATACCCCAATATTTGGATTTTTCAATCACAATTGAAATTGTTACATTGCTTTAAAATTACACTTATCTCATGAAGAGTCTGCATAGCTATCAATCAATTAATATGGTTATTTAAAACGACTAATTTTTTTTTTTTTTTATTTATTTATTTATTTTTTTTTGTAGAGGAGAATTGGGTATCTGGAGTGGTCATCAAGGTGCTCTGTTACAAAGCTTCAGGACTCATACTGCAGATATTTTAAGCTTGTGTGTGTCTGAAGAACAAAATACAATTTATTGTGCAGGTATAGAAACAATTGTACATAAGACAATTAATTATTGGCATTCATCCATAATTCGTTATTAATGTGGTGTTTACTTTGCAGGAGTTGATGCTGTTATTTACATCATATCTCATGTACAGGTGAAGGCAGATGTTTGGCGATGGACAAAAACTTATCAAAGAAGAATTCATGAACATGATGTTCGAGCCTTGGCAGTATCAGGACCACGTTTATTGTCTGGAGGTAAATATTGTATTCAACCCTTTTGCGAATAAAAAAGTTCTTTTTTAAAAATAACAATTTATTTTTAAAGTTCATTGTCAATTTTTTATAATTGTGATACTTTTTTTTAAGTAAGAGACTAGAATCAAAGACAGTTGTTCTTCCATTAACCTATTTTTTATAGAAACAAATTTTGTATTCTGTTAATACAGTACTTAAGTTTTGTAATGTTTTGCCGACAATGACATTGCATTGTGAGGAATTGTTTGTGTTTTAAATTTTAAAATTATTGTGTAATAGTGAACAAATATCTATTAACATATTAATTTTATTCTACTGTTCTACTTCATTAAAATTCATTTTTTAAATATATTTCATTACTGTATATTTTTTTTCAGGAGTTGATGGGTATCTTGCTGTTAGCAGTGCTTACCCGAAAACATGCTTTAAATACCCTCCTCTCTTGCAAGTAAGAACATTTTTTGCCTGAACAAGTAAATTGAATTTTTATTGTGAAAATTAATATTTATAGTTAAATTATTGTTTTATTAAACATTAATTCAAATTGTGTACTTATAAAAAATTGTTTCAGTTAATTTTTTTTTCATTTTTGGATTATTATTATTATTATTATTATTATTATTATTAATAAGTGCCATCCACAATTTGGAAATTCTCTAATGAATGTGCTGTGCTGTGAATTTGTTGGTCATTCTCAAAGTGCTTGTTGTGTTAGCTTGGATACATTTTCATACAAGCATACATGTGTTTTGGAGCATTCACCTTTGGATATTGAAAGAAAGGAAGATTAAAGGAAAATATTTACTATGGATGTACTGCATTGTAAAAATCTTGGAGATTAAGCTTGTTACAAAGCAAATAATGGGAAGTACAAACTTTTCATGTTCTCTGTGCCTGGTCGCCTAACAAAGACAGGAAGAGTTGATGAGTAAGTGCAAGAGCAATTGAAGCTATGCAATGATTTGCCTTGCTGTTAGTATCATATGCCTGTAGCACTAACAAGTTTGAAGAGCATTGAATATCTCCAATACTGAACATATGGTACAACCTAGTCATCAACTCTTCCTCTCTTTGACAGGTGATTAGAAATAGAGAACATGGAAAGTTGTTACTTCACATTATACGCTTTGAAAAGCTTTACCTTCAAGATTTTTACAATGCAGTACATCTATAGTTAATACTTTTCTTTCTTCTTCCTTTCTCTCTTTCGATATCCAAATGTGAATGTCCCAAAACATGCACATGGAAATTTGCAAAAAATAAAACAAATTTGGCAGTTGTTAGTGCCTCTGGGGAATGAGTATATTTTAGGCCTGTTTAAGGTTCTTTTTAAAAGTTGAGTATTGGTCCTCTGTGTGAATATAAATGGGAGTTTCCCAAACCAAGTTCTTATTTAAATATTGATGTTGCGTAAGAAAGAACTGGGATCTTTCCCAGATTGTTCAGAATTAGTCTTCTCGAAAACATTCTTTAATTAGGACACGTTTTATTATTCTGTTATCTTTGTTAATGTGATAAGTATAATTATTTCCTAGTTCCAGTCTGTGAACTTAACTGCAGGAAGATGTAGTAAGTGTGCTGATTGAGAAATATGTGCCAATCCAATTTATTAATACCTCAATGTTATTAAAGCACTTGTGTGCATGCATCTATTTAGTTGGTTTTCTTATTTTTGTGACAGAATACATGTGTGAAATGTGTTAAAAGGTATTAATAAATGGCATTAAAATCTTGATAGGATAATCCAAAGCAATTGTTTTAAGTAATATTGGCAAAGGTATAAAATGGGCAATTTGTTTACAGAATCCTGCTATTGTGGTGTGTCGGGAAGCACGTTGCATACTTCTGCGATATTGGACTCATCTTGAAGTATGGAAGTTGGGGCAAAACGCAGATGATCCTCATCCAGTTAAATTGCTTGTTCTGGAAAGTGCAGGAGGAGATCCAATCACATGTGCTGCCTTGAGTTCTAATTCTAGGTGGCTGGCTTATTCAACACCTCTAGCCACTCGCTTCTTCAGCTTTGAACACCATGTGGTAAGATACCTTTAAATAAATTTGACAACTTATATTGTTTTCATCTTATATCGTAACACGATATTCTGCATTATATTGCTTATTCTAGCATTCCCCATGATGTTATTCTCAGCCCTTCTCTCTTTCATTTGAATATTGTTCTTCATTGACTTATTCTTGTAAAATGTCCTGATCCATATACATATCAAGTAAGTAATAGAAGATTTGGTTGTAACGATCACAGTAAATACAACTTCCAGGAGTGAAAATTTGCCCTAATTCTGCAAATTGATTTAACACTACAGGTCTGGAGGTCAAGGGTTTCTTGATTACTCATATATTTATGTAACATATTAACTGAAACTGCATGTTTACTTCAGTAGAAAAGGAAACACTAGAAAAGTTGCAGTAGAGAAATACGACATGCATGACAATGAAAATCGAAAATATAAAGCAAAATATTGTTTCATTTTGTTCATTATTCTCCAAGACTAATGAAATGAGCGAAGTTTACAAATTCAGAAACAATACAATCACTTTCCACTGTAAACACAAAGTTTATCACTCTTATGAAAACTGAAATACTTTATATTTCCCAAGATCTGTATATGTATTTTATAGTGGTCTATTGCAGGGAAATCTGCTATCCACCTTTACTTAAAAATATAATGCAATGCATATTATTGTTATTATATTGTACCCTTTTGTAAAGGGACACACGTCCAAGAGTCCACACACTGAAAAATCAGGAAAAGTCAGAGAATTTCATTGATCTGAAAACGTCAGAGAAAAATCAGGGAATTTTGCTGGAAATCTTTTTTTCCATTTCTTATTATAGAAGGTAATTAACTTCCATTTAAGTTCACGGGCTGGAGAAATGTTTCGATTTAGGGAGGTTCCCGGCTTGAACTGGTTCTGGTTTAGGCAGATTTTACTGTATATACTAATACAAAAGTGTATATTGACCAAAGTGTTTGTTTGATCAATGTGTTATTATATAATTTTTACAATTTGATTTCATTTTCAATAAAATTTGGAGCAAAAATTAATAAAAGGGAGAGAATCCAAATATTCTGATGAAAGGTACCTTGTGCACCTCTTGACATGTAACACTTTGAGGGGAAATCAAAAGAAGAGTGTATCTCTGTAATTGTGGTTTAAGACATGGGCAATTTTTAATTAATTTATTGGCCCGAGATGCATGCAGTAGAGCAGGGATGTCCAACTGGCAGTGTATGCTGCCATTTATTGTGACCCAAGAAAGGTTAATAGTTAAAGGTGAAAGTCCCTTTCGTTCATGTTGGGCGAGAAGATTGCATGCCTAGCGCACGTGACCTGTCTGTGTCAACACTCTTTTGTAAATATGGAAATGTAAATGTGAATGTGGTCCACAATCTTATTGAAAGTTTTAGTTGGCGGCTCTTCAGGTCTTGCAAGTTGGACACACTGGCAGTAGGATGAAAGATGCCAAGTTCTTTTGCAGTTATCCATGAATCTGTAACATACTTTCCTTTGGCATTGTGATTTTTGTCACGTGTTACTTATGGTTTGAGGATATTTGCCAAAAAAGATTTTTCTGATTGGAAATTTCCATTAGAAATAAAGAGTTAAAAACCAATCGGGTCACTATGAATATCTTTACATGGTGCTATTGAAATGCTAACTGGTGATACAATTAGGTAGTTGGAGTGGGTTTGATGTTGAGGAACGAGTGATTGGAATATGTTAGGAGTTTGAGGAATTTGCAAACTACAGCAAGATTAGGCAGGGTTCCATAAATTGATTTCAATTGGCAGCTTTCTTGATTGCCTGTGGTGGAGGCCTATCCTTCGACATTGGATGTTTTTTTAGAAACATGCTACATTCTCCATGGTCTACTTCAAATAACCATCTCCAGATTACAAAAAAGATGAATGAGAAAAGTGTCAGAGCATGTCTATGGAGAAAACCTATAATAAAGTGCATCTCAAATTGAAAGAATAACAACTCCCATGACATTTTATTTTTAAGAAATGTAGACATTGTTTTTTATTCATTGTTAATGCAAAAGTTTAATGTCATCCCATCATTTCTGACAGGTTAACCCTAGTTCGGTAATAAAACTCAAGGCAATTAGTTTAGAAAACAATGGTAGCTAGGGAGGCAGGCATTGTGTTTATTGGTCCTCTTCATTAGTATAAAAATGCAGGCTCACAGGAGGATCTGTACATTTTTCCACCAGTTCAGAAGCACCTTCATAACATGCCTTTCCCCAGCGTTTTTACTTTATCATCTTACGACATATACATAAGTACATGTGCACGTAAGAAGTAAAGAGAAAATATTTATTTAAACATTCATTCTTAAATGGGTGGGAACCTTTGTACTTCTAAAAGGGTTACCATATTTTGTGGGTCTTTGATGCTGAAAAATTGGTTCATGACAAAACATCTATCTGTCCATCTGCGTTTAACACTGGAGCCTAAACTGTTCAGACTATTTTCTCAAAAAATTATATTTCCACATCAATCTGGACAAACTTGACGCTCTGCAGAGGTGGTAGCATGCTTTTGAGAATATTGAATTGTATTGTATTGATTTCATTCATCATCATGTCATCAAATATTTCTTGGGTTTTGATAAGTCTAACGATTTAATATTAGATTGCATAAAAGTTTTAACACATAAATACAGTAGTACTGTTAAATACAGAATACTCAAATCCATATATTTACAATAAATGTTTTGCAATATGACTTCACTCAGATCTCAAGATTCAATTAGTTATTTTCTTTTCTCCCTTCCCAATGGGTTGTGAGTAGCCACTGTGGAGTTGTGTGTAGCAAATAAGCTCTTAAGACAATTATAAGTATATTTTGTCTAATAAACTACTGGGATATTCCGAATGGTAGAGGTGCCATACACACTTAACGGCTAAGTCGCTATAATCATTCGAAAGTTGGTTTGAAAGAATGCTTTCTACAAAAAAGTTTGCATTGCAGAAGCTTATAAATGTTCTAGAAACATGTAAATTGTTTATTATTTACAAAAAAATTATTATATTTATTTAGAAAGAAAAATTAACCAAGAAATAAATATTACCCAATATACACAATTTGACTGCTTTTTTAATTTATCTTTTGTTTTCTTTCTGAAGAAATATATTTATTTCTTTTGTAAATAATAAACTATTTACATGTTTCTATGCTTCTGCAATGCAAATTTTTGCCTTAGAAAGCATTTTTTCAAATCAACTTTTGAGTTCATTATAGCAGCTTAGGCGTTTGGAATATCCAAGTAGTTGATTAATAAAAATATGCTTAAAATTGTCTGAAGAGCTTATTTCCGAAGTTTCAACGTTTCTTCCTCAATATAAATTTCTATTCCTTCTTCCTCTGTATACATTTCTATTATTTAAAAAAAATATTTTTATCTGCCATTACATTTCCAATTAATATGACCTTAGATTAAATACGGAGAAAGAACTTTTTATTATTCAGTAATTTGTCAGTAATTGAGTTTTCAATGACAAAACATGTTAACCTATAAATTGATTAGTTTTTAAAATACATTTATAAAAAAAGTGTGTTGTTTCAAAATCTAAATATTTTTAATTTTACCATTTTTTCACAATGAATTGTGTATCATATCAGTTTTTCTTAGACTTGAGGCTTAAATAATATCTCACATAGTGTGTTCTTTATGGGAATGTCTGGATTTATTGAAACTTCTTAATTTTGTTCCAGGATGGTCAGGCACCTCTCCTGCAGAAAGTTGCAGGCTTGCCAGAAGAGGTAGGGCCATCCCATCACATTACATTTTCACCTGATAGTAGTCTTGCAATAGTTGCCACAAATTCTGCAGAACTAATAATTCTAAAGCTAGGAGAGGGTGATCCGATGGTGTTGCACTCTTTTCAACCACTGGAGAGTAAATGTAAGTATTCCTGTAACATTCATCTCTTTTTTTCAGATCTGACCAATTACTGTATTTACCCAGGTCTTTTAATTCTGAATATAAGACAACCTCCTAATTTTGTAGACGTCTTCTGAAAAGTTTCAAATTTTTAAATAATTCTTACTATGTAGTCAAAATGAATTTGTCTATTCGACTATAAATTTGTCTCGTTAAGAATGTTCAAACTGATTGCCCAAGCTATAACTATTGATTCCTTCAATTTGTGTATGTTACAATGTACAATTGTCCCTGGTTTTACACTTCCAAATTTGAAACTTCCACTTTTTATTTTTTTACCCTTACTACTTAACCACAAAGGATAGGATGACTAATGATGTTCAATGTTTTTTCCACCAAACACTCCAAATACTTGACAGTTTGAGATACAGAACTTCAAAACAACTCAATATTGTATTGAGCTAGGTTTAAAAATTCTGTTTTCGAAATAACAGGAACATTATTGCATTATTACATGTGTTGCATGTTGCATATATTTTAGAAATGCATTAGATATGTTTTAAATGCTAAAACATCGCTGGTAATACAGGACTATAAAAATGTGCATTTCATTTCCTCTTTATGTTCTAGAAAAAGAAAATTAGAAATAAATGGAATTAACATATTTTAAAATGCAAGGTCTAAGAAGCTCAATGATTTATAGTTAAATGTTTATATTATTGATAAACACTGATAATTAATCTTCTTTATTTCATTACACAAGCGAAAGTAATATCCCGCCATTTACACTTTCCTTCAATTTTTATAATTTTTCTTTGAATTGAATTGAATTGAATTGATGCCTTATTTTACGTCGTGAGACTCGGGCCATCAGGCCCGCTCTTCCGTCCAACTTTACGCAAATTTCGCTACGCTCTTTTCACCAACTAGCAGAGAGTGGAGGTATTTCTTGGGCGAAGAACAGGCAATTTGAATTTAGCTCAGAGGTGTCATTTAAGCTTGAGGATCTTTTACATGCAAGTAAATCTACTAACACGGGACAGCATCTTTACTTCTCCTCTGAAGGAAGGCATAAGAATTTTTTCACCCTTAAAAACACACGGCTTCAATAGGGTCTGAACCCACCAACTTGAGTATAACAGCTCGATATACTAACCATCGCCTCCGCTATTTCTTTGACACTTGAAAAATGTAAAAGAAGGGTTGTACTGTATATTAAAATTGTCTCTAATTTGAAATTGTGTACCAGTTTCTTTTGGAATATTTTCATATCTTGGAAAGTGCATTATTTAATGAAACCAACTTATGAATTAATGACTAATTTATTGGAAAGAAGTTCCTATTTTGGGATAGGGATAAGAAAAGACATAAAAAAAGAGAAACATTGTTGAAAATTTTTTAAAAAATGGAATGCGTATGGGGTTGTTGTATCTGAGTTTGCGGGTTCAATCCCAATTGATGCTGTGGATTTTTAAGGGTGAAAAAAATCCTATATATGCCTTCATTCAGAGGAGAAGTAAAGCTATCTATCCCATGTTGGAGATTTACTGCATAGAAGATCCTAAAGGAAGCCTCTGAGCTGAATCCAAATCGCCAGTTTCATCACCTGAATAATACTTTCTTTCTCCAGGAGATGGTGAAGGTACTTGGTGAAATTTGCTTGGTCAGACTGAAAAGTGGGTCTGATGGCCTGAGTCTCACCAAGTAAAAGAAGGCATTAACTATACTAAATTTAAACATATTTTGTGAAATTTTCTTATCTTCAGATCAAGTAAATTACATCATTAGTAGTAAAAATATTTTTTTTCTTTGGAGAGAAGAAAGTATCTGCTTATAAACAAACAAGGCTTGTTGGGAGCAACTTTAAGAAAACATCATTTTTGAAGGGCTCGTTTTTCAATCTAAAGCTCCGTTTGTTGAGGTCTGCTGAATTATGACCAAGATATTGAATATAACCTGAAGACAACGGTTCATATGTCTTTGTGTCTATTACATTTTAATTTTTAATATTAAGTTTTGAGGAATATCAGTAATTTTAAAACTAATTTCTGAAGGCACCTTTATGACAATCTGCATATTATCAACTTTGTCAATGTGTCGGTTCACATCTTGACAGTGAATACAGGGAAGGTTCTCCTGTATTCATTTATCATGCTGTTATCACAAGCCTTGATGAAAAGTAATATTTCAGTCAATGATTGAAAAAAAATGGGGTTCCTAAGGGTCAATTCTGAGAGTCTATATGTTGTCATTGCTATCAATGGTCAGCCATACCCAGTCATAGCCTGTGAAAGCATCATTCCTTGTTGATGACTTCATTACTATAGCATGCCAGCAAAGTCCCTCCACAGTAGCACCAGTGATAGGTGAGCGTGCTAGCAACAGAAATTATTTTGATATCATGAACTACAGCCTGTAACAAAAGAAAACACGATGCTGGAAGTATTGTCCTCTTCACTTGCTTCCCTGTAATTTCTATGAACATAAATGTAATTTTTAATACGGAGCCCTGATTTGGCTTGGTGCAGACTCACTTTACCTGGTGCACTATACGTATGTAGTATTGAGCAAATATTGTAATGTATTAGTGAACTGTGCTGGTTAACAACAAAATAACTTGTTTCCAGTGTCCCTGATACCGAAGAAGTAAATTTTTTCCCTCTTGTACATTGTAATTTTTTTGAATAAGTAGTGTAGTCAGAATCCCTGTTATGTGAGTTTTTGACTACAAAAAATTGAAATTCATGAAACGCAGGGATTCCATCCAAGATTGATATTCCTTGATAGATCTGGCTGATGTCCCATCAAATGTGAAACGGTAATTTTAATTTTTGAGTTTATTTGATGGAAAGCTCCCAATAACTTTTTGACTTTTTCTCAAAAATGTCTCAATTTATTCCTGTAAAACTCTGGCTGTCTTCCAGCTTAGCAGTGTCAAGACAATCCAATCAACGACCTTTAATTGCCTTCCTCACCTCTTGCTACCATGGGACTTTCAGAACAAGTTAACCATTTCCTTCTAGCTAATTATGCACAAAATAAATAATGTATTATTACTGTTCAATTCATTAAATATAAACGTAGGCTATCCTGAAATAAAAATATCTCGTGTGTCTAGGGGCCAAAAGACTTTTAATGGGATTAGGGAGCCAGCCCCTCATTGTGCACAAGATCTTTTAGCACACTGGTTACTTAGAAGTCTAGGAATTTATAAAGGAATAGAGGTTGAAACGTGGCACACAAGAGGATGGGAATATCCCTTGTGCCACAAACACATCTGCAGGTGCGCCAAAGTATGCAACACTTGGGTGAAGGTTCCAAATTCCACTTAAGGCATGGTTGATTTCAGTTGAGTTTTTGATATTCGGTCTGGTAGACAGGGGTCCAGATATTGCTTTATTTATAGTCTACAGATAGAAGTTCTGTATATCTTTAGACAATGATTTTATTTTTAATAATTATTAATCTCTTTTTGACAGTGCTGAAGGACAGAATATTTCTTTTGGAGGTTTCAAATAATGGGAAATTTCTTGTTGCTGCTGATCATCTAAGCAACATTTGTGTGTGGACCCTGGATAATGGAAAGGTTAGTTTTTGATATAATTCGTTTATCCTTTTTGTGTTAATTTTGAGTTAATTAAGCATTTAAATTACAGTATTTCTGCAGTCTTCCACGTTACAACAGTGCACCTACTGCTCTTGGGACCCAGCCAGAAAATGATACATTAGTTATTGCATATGCTGATCATACAGTAAGTTTTAAAATAATTATGCCTTTAGTATGTTTCTTCAAAGAATCTTAGTTTGTTATTTCTTACAGGTGGTGGAGTATAGTCTAGAGTCAAGGAAATACACAGAATTTTCTCAAAGATTGACCAAAAGACGACCAAGACAGTGGTTGAACAAAGCTTTTCCAGTTATAGGTATCACATTTGACCCTAGAAATTGTGATATCATCATTCTGTATGATGATGTAACAATGCATGTCATTAATAAGACTAAGGTGAGCTCAACTTATTTTTATTTATTTGTAAATTTTCTTAGTTGATAAGCAGTTTCTTACCATTTACACTTTCAGAATACCTTTTTTTCTCATTCATTTGATATCTCCTCATTGACCATCTGACTCGCTTAATTAATACAACAATATGTAGATATTTGAAAATCTCGAAATTGTCCCAAATTTAACGTAATTCATATATTAGATTAATACAATGGAAATGTGATGCTCTCTTCATCAACCCTTCACCTATTCTCATCTCACAAATTTCTTTAAATTATTATGTTCAGTATAACTTTTGTAAAGTTTGTATGTGCTCTCTAAAGTATTTATGTTCACTGCTCTTTCAATCTGTTTTTTGTACCTACAACAAGAATTTCTTAAACCACTTCTGAATCGTGCTTTTGCAGAACAAACGTTATTGGTGTTCTTGCATCCACCACAGAATAATAAAATTATAAATGCAGGAATAAGTGAGGATGCAAACTTGTAATAGTATTATATTTGAATTTAAATCTTACTTTGCCATTGCAGTTGTTTTAATAATATCCAGAAGTCTTTTACACCTTACTGTGCTCAAAAACAATATTTACTTCTGTAGTAGTTGCTACAGTCACAGACTGTCAAGTAAATTATATGAAGAACAGTACGAATAAATTGCCCCGCCTCATTGGTTAGTGGCTGCAGTCTCGCTGACTCTTTCAGTGTACAATGTGTCGCAGGCCAGAGTACTAAGTCTTTATGGTACCCTCATATTGCCTTGAAGGCTAGGCCTATAAACCTCCCATGCTCAGAGACCTGATGGAATTTAAACCAGACTTGCAGTTCCATTTTATGCTGTTTAAAATGCCATTTAACGTTATTGGCCAGAGAAATTTTCTTGGTCAATGCAACTTTCCCGCTTGTACAGGCTCCGGTTAAGACAGATTTTACTGTACCTGAAATATTGATCCTAAAGAGTAGAAATACCATACTGACACAAAAAAACATTATTTACTTATTATTCCAAATCTTTGCCAATTGAGTAGGGGTCCCATAGGGTTTGATCTTAGATCGTATCCTCTTTCTTTTATATGTAAATGATAAGCCCTTGTAAATGTATAAAAATGGTAGAACAGTTCTGTTTGCTGATAACACAAACATTCTTTACAAAAAAGAAACAAATGGTATGATTTCAGAGGTTTCAAATTAGTTTCTTAATAACAAATTAATAGTTTAATTAAAAATAAATAAAAAAAGGATTTCAAAGAATTTTTGAATTTCAAACCAACAATTGCATGCTCCTTTGAAAGTGAACAATATGCCATTGTTATATTAACAAAATTTCTGGGTCTCTCAATTCAGTCAAACTTCAAATGAAATATCGGTATAACTGAATTAAACTCTAAATTAAGTTCATTATGCTACCCATCAGAATTCTTTTAAATTCTGTCAGCCATCATGCAGCTTGTTGCGTATATTTTGCAAATGTATATTACTGCCTGAAATAATGGCTTTGTACTGCGGAGAAGCTCATTTTATAGTACCCAGACATCTAAATTGCAGAAAAAATATTTGAATAATAAGGAAATTTCATCGAAGTGATTCCTGCAAACAGCTCTTCATTGTTCTTGGGATCTTTGCCTTACCTATTTATTTATGAATCTGTAGGTTTTTGTCAAAACTGACTTGTTTAACAGTGGGAACACTTTTTCATATGACTGAGATTTAATTACAATGCATGACATAGCAATCACATTCATCAGGTGTTAGCATCAGCAGCTCACTACAATAAAACCACATATAATACATGGATGTTACTTTTCATCACATTGCCAAATGGCATTAAGCAATTTAAATCAGTACACAAATTTAATTTTAAAATATTTTCCTGAATAACTGTTTCCATACAAATAAAGACCATCAAAAAGAAAAATATCATTTATTTTAACAATGATATATAATGCTTTAGTTTACATTTATATTATGTAACTTTAAAAAGTACATGGTATAACTGTAACAAGTACTATTGTACTTTAACTTCTAGCTCAATGACCCTGAGCCAGGTTTTTGTCCAGTTTCCCTGATCCATTGAGTGATTGCTGAAATGGCCCTTATTTTACTTCTGGTCATAAATTTACTTCACTATGTGCATATGTAGTTGAGGTTTTCTTTTGCTATTTGTAGTAGGAGTAGAACCTGGGGTATGGTTTACTATTTTCTTATGAATACTAACAACTCAAGTCTGTAGTTCATTTATCAATGGAAATAAGTTTTTTATAACTGGAGCGAAAATGTCAATTTCGAATTGAAATGTTACTAATCTTATTTTGTATGTACTTTTATTCGTTATTTCACTATTTAGTGTTAAAAACGTGGGGAAGGTATTCCAGAGCTCAAGAAAATGTTAACAGTTTGTACTTCTCTCCTATGTGTCACATACAGTTTTGCACTGTTAATTCACATAATAAATCAAATCAAATAAAAAAATATTAATAATATCTCTGCACTACTTCTGGTACTCTCAATCTTGTTGTGTATGTGGGTTTTGTATGAAGGAAATACTATGAAATCAGGGTTGGAAATGTGTTGTTCTTAGGGGGTTATTTTGAGGACCAGAAATGTTTAACTTTAAAATGGGGTTCCTTTGAATCATGTTACACTTCATTTATGTAATTTCACTCTTCTTCTTTTAAGGGAGTACTCTATTTGTGCTTTTCATTTATCATATTTCACTTGTTTGTAAGTTGAATATTTTTCTATTCACCAGGATCTTCCAGATTCAGAAGCTAAAATTCCTCGTTTAGACTCATCCCACTCAGATAGCATGGATAGTTATCCTTTTCACCCCAGAGTAAATGATCCTCAACATGCGCTCCATGTTATAAAGAAGTACAAGGTAAGATAGTCATTTATTTAGTAATTGAAAATGTAAAAAGTCTCAACTACAATAGAGTTAATATTATTTAATTTTAAACCATTAACCAGACTTGTTTTGGGAATAGTTTTTTGCTATCGTCAATGGCAGTACAGAGGAAATGGAACTACACAAGTAATCATTAAGTACATAAATGGAAGTAGTTGAAATGCATAAACTTATACAAATTTACTTTAATTACTTAAACAAATACTTTCATTTAGTAACTTTTGACTAATGTTTAAGTTAAAAAAATGATTTAATTAATTTAATTAAAATTTATTTCTTATTGTCTTTCTCTTTCTTGTTGGGTGTGACCATCAAAATAATTCTAAAGCAATTGTTGTTTTCAAAATAATATTATTTAGTTTATAAATGCTATGTTATTGCTTGTTGGCACTTAAAATAATGAAAATGTGTTATGTGTAAGTGCTATGTGCTAAAAAGGGTTTTGTGTAACTGCAGTCATTTTGTTATAATTTGCGTGTGTGCAATGAAATTTTTCAAGAAGCAGTTTCTTATCAGTTGTGTTAAATGCAAATAACACATCTTCTAGCATAAATATCATCAGCATCAAATAACACATCTTTTAAAATCTGTACATCATCAATTTTTGTAGATAATAATGAGAAAATAAAAATAAAATTTTGCCAAATTTTACTGTGTTCTACTTTGTAGATAATGGTGGGAAAATAAAAATAAAATTTTGCCAAATTTTACTTGTGTGTGTCTGTGCATGTGCATGTCTGTCTACCTGTGGGTGGGCGCATGCTTGCGTGAATGTGCCTGGTGAGAGTCATTTCAAGTTAAAAAAATACACATATGTTTCTGATGATATTTTGCTGTTAAATGTTTTCTTACTGCGCAGTTGATTTCTATTAACATGTGGAAGGTTGTGAAGTGAGTCAAAGCACTACTGATAGTTTTAAGTATTCCTGAAGAAAAAAAAAATTCTTTTTTTGGAATACCAACAATGGTTAATCGCAAATTGAGGATTTATTGGAATTGGGTTGCTCTTATAATAGTCCTGTGATCATACCTGACCCTGCCTTCTCCTTCTTCCCCTGCTTCTCCTCCAGAGGGACAGGGAGAGAAATATACGTCACATAAAAGGAAGGGGTGGGATGGGCTTTCTTTTAGAAGTATTGGATGTGTTCTGATTTAACTTGACTGCTTCTTGAAAAGGTCATCAGATTGAACAAAAACTGTTGACTTTAAATACTTCGGCAAAAACTAACAACTTGATTCTATTGTATCAAAATATTTGATGATGTATTGAATGAACGTACCACTTAAAATGTAAAAGTCAGAATCCATTTTTGTTAGGAAGGATGGAAAAGTGCCCTATTTGTACTTTTGAAAACTTAAAAATTTTGATAAAGATATGATTTTGAAATAAAGATATATACCTAAGTTGCCAGTTACAAATTCAAGCCAAACGATCTTTTTCATTTGACAAAGTCAATGTCCTTAGTAATAGAATAAAGACAGTAGTGAATTTGTTACTTTGGTATTCACAGGAAATAGACATCCAATTTATACTTGATTGTTCTAGAAGAAAAGAAAGAGCAGAGATAAATCAGTGACTTTGTGTGTTGCAGCATCTTGTTCATCTTACATGGCTGATGGGTGACGAAGTAGTTGCTGTAGAAGTTAGTCCTGCTGCTCTTGATGAACAATTACCACCAATACTGAAGAAGAAGCGATTTGGAATGTGATGAATTGTCTCTTGTCTGTTTGTATATTCACCAGATTATTTTCTTACAAAAACATTCAAATGATCTTTTCTGTATCTCCTTCTTTCTATTTCTATTACTCTAAATTCTTCTTTCTATTTCTCTTCTGTGTACATGATTGTAAAGTGTGAGAGAAATTAATTATTTTTAATTTCAATCTAAAAGATTTGTTCTGAGGGTGTACATAAAATAATTATTATGATCAGTGGTGCAACCAAGGGAGGAGGGGGAGGTCTCATCAGGGCTTCACTCTTTCCTCAAAAGCCAAGATCACATATTCACAAATATAGTTTTTACCAATTTTCTATATCAGTGAAAGTCATTCAATATTTCAATTGAATACGTTATAAATAACAATAGATCAAAAAATAGAAACAAAATTTAAGTTTTGCATGAAGGAAAAATTGTTTATAAGAAATAGTGAAGTAAGTTGGGCACTCCTCCAACAGCTGGTCCCAAGTATAATCCTGATAATGCCACTGATTATGATGAATGCATTATGTAAAACAAATTGGTGCTGAAATTTTAAAAAAAATAGAAATTCTTTTCAGTGTTGTATAATTTGTCATTCTATCTCCAAGTTTTATACTGATAAAAAATAAACAGACTGATTTTAAATTGTGTTATCTTAAGTTCACTTGTTTACAAGTGTACAACTTTAGTGCTTTCCTTGCAGGTCAATTTTACTTACAGTTCCTCTTATGATCAGTACGTATTTGCTGAATGCATTTCAATGTGATTTTCATTTACTTAGTTGTGTGTTTTTCTCTGCAGTTTATTTGTTGAAATTAATATTATACACTCTGATTACGTTCTCTTACATGATTATTCAAAACGCACATTTTTAGGTGAAACCCAGAACGATTTGACATTGTTTTTCTCTTTGATATGCTTGCACAATTTACAAACACCTCCTCTTGCAAAAGAGCAAAAATCATCTATGATACACAGGAAACCTTTATAGATCAGATTTTTTATTTGTTCAGGATAGACGCAGAATTTAGGCTTTATTAAAAATCTACATTGAAGCTCAATGAAAATGAAGGGAGCATTACTCTTTACCAAAAAATGGAGAAAATTGCAAAACTTCTTTTGATTTAGAATACTAATTTCAGAAACTCACATAGAATTTTTATTTGAGTGCGGGGACTTTTTTCGTTGATACACATTATCTCACACATGATTCGTTAATAATTGTAGTTCTTGTGCATTCTTAATTTTTAAGGAAAAATGTATTCTAGGACCAAAGTGCAAAATTGAAAAGGCAAAGTGGCATTATAATAATGTTTATGCAATATCTAGCGCATTGTTTAGTATTTATTTCTACATGTGCAATGAAATAACACAACTCATTAACCCAGAAATATATGATACTGCTTCCGTGGAGTGGAATCTCCAGGAGGAAGAATTGTCAGCTTTGGACTAACATAAAGTGGACCCACTTTATTTAGTGAATTTTCTCCAAATCTTGAACGCCATCCAACCATACCTGAAAAGTAATAAAAATAAAAATTTGTATTGTCATAAGAGAAAGACAAGAGTCAAGTCAGGACACACAAATAAGTATTGAGAATGTAAGGGGTCTGCTTTTTTAACTAGGTAGATGACCCATTTCCACATGGCACATTTCCACATTCTGATTTCAAGAGGAATCGCAGATTAAATTTTAAAAGTAGTCCAGCATATTGTTGTGGTAACTGCAATAGATCTTTTGTCAAAATATTATCTTTTTTTTTATTACATCATTGTAATCAATCCAGAGAACTGCACCAGTTGCAATATATTGTAAGACAAAGGATTAATGAAAAACCAAATATCATGATTTTATATTTGTGAAAGCGACTATCAAGACAAGTAGAGGTAAAGAACGGTTTTCGCTCCTCCTGAAAACTCGTAGATTTGACATTTGGCCTATAGCTGTTACCACGACGAGTGTACAGTTACAGGCAGCTTGTAAGCTTTGTTGTGGAGAAATAACATTATTCAACATCAAAATGTTAACCTTTCTCTGGGCAAGCAATTTTTGTAATATATCCAGGCAAGCAGATTCTTCAATACGCTACTGCTTCATAATGTGTAGGTATAAATGTATTATTTCCTCCCATTTGCTCAGCTAACATTCTTATAATGTCAATCTTCATCACTAAAATCTGCGTTCTGAAAGAAATTAAATTTGCTCCAGAAAGCTTTTTGATTTATCATTTTTACTCTTTCAGGTGAAACAACACTCAGATCTAATAACGTAGCATCATTTAATTACAGAAGTGCAATATTCTACATATTTGACATAATTAATAGCTTTCTTCTAATTATCATTTCAAACTCAATACCTTTTAACTATTTTTTCATGCCAAAAGACCATTTAGTGATCACCAAAAATTATTTGCCTGAATTCATTATTATAAAAATAAATATTTTCAGTGTTTTTTGACTGGTTGCCTGATCAAAAGATATTCAGAGTAGAGTTCAGATTTAAACTTTTTGGTCTCCATTATACATTTTTTCACAAATCAGGAATCACCATTACCCTGTATTGATACTAGCTTTATTGGATTCTAACTAGCTAGTTATTATCTAGTGCTGCCTGAGTATTTGTTTATTACAATCATTAATTAAACAGTCCCATCTCCATCCCTACCCAACCTGCCTTCAATGCTTACTCTGCCTACCTGACACTGATGTGTGTCACTCAGAGTAATGCTGTTGCCTACCTACACAGCCCTGCATCAAGGATTTCCAGTTACAAATTTCAGGATGTAACAAAACTCGGGGTAACATTTTGGGATTGCAAACCCACTATGGTTTCTCACGTTCAGAGATGTGTTTATATAAAATCTTTGAACAATCTCTTCAGTGGCTCAAAAGTGTGGAACAATCACCCACTTCGTTATACACACACATGCTCATACATCCACATTTATATATTACAGTTAATGAATGTAATTTGTGTTATTTATATTTTTTAATTTTATTGTAAGGATTAGAAGAAAAAAATAAATTAAAAGATAGTTTGAAATTGAAAACTTATGTAATGAAAAAAAAAAGTGCAAGATCTACTTGACATGATAAATAAGTTTGAATTTTATTGTTTTGTTCCATGTTGCAATAAAAGAACAAAACGTAGTCTTGTCTACCCAGCAGGGATACTCAGAGAAAACATAGACCTGCAGTAGTAGATCCACAAAGACCCTGCATTTCAAGCAAAGATTGTCTCTCCCGTGTAGAGATTTTGTTATTATAAACTTTCTTATACAATAGATGGGAATTTTTGTAACTTTGGATGTTTAGTATATAGCATTACAAAAATCAAATTTTTGTATACTGAAAGACAGGAATTTGTATTCCTACAAAAATTGATTATTACAGAAGCTATAAGTATTGCAAGAAGAAAGAATGCTGAAAATTTTGTTGGTTCAATGTCATGGTGTAGATTTATGAAATGGCATGGTCTTTCCAGGCGTACTAGAAAAGTATCATAAAAACTCCTGGCGAAATGTGAAGAAACAATCATTGCTTTTCGTAGGTCATGGAGATTACCCATTTTTTTCATAAACATTAAAAATAGAATATAAAATTTAACATAAAAGAATGAAATCCTTCTTGAAAATAGGAATGCGTCTTTTACCCTGGTTTACTTGTACTCTAGCACATATGGTAATTAGACTTCAACTAAGTTAAATATTATTTTTCTTTAAAAACTTTTATTGAAGGAAAGACGTTGTGTATAGGTTTGTGTAATTATATTTTAAACAGGTTACATGTAATGATTTATTATAAATTAGAACTCATTTTATAAAATATCTGACCATAAACAACAAGAATTTTTGAGTTTTATTTGAATTAGAAGGAAAACTAGTGCCCTGCAATATCAAAAATGCTGTTGAACACATCCACACAAAGAGTATTCCAAAAAGCAAACATACTGCTCAAGATAGTAATAATATAATTAAAAAAATAGTCTTCATAAATATTGCAATAACTTAGTATAATATAGTTCAACACTTCTTTACTTTTCAAGAATATAAAAAAGTTGCTGGTACATAAGGCCATATGTGAAGAGCAAATGTTTAATAGTGGGCCTTTACATGGAGCCTTGCTGTCTTACATCAGCTGGGTCTGAAGCAATCATGCACTGAAGTCAGTATGCACATGAGGATAGGTGGAATATTTGCATTTTTCAATCGAAATCAAAACATTAAATTTTTTCCATGTTTGTTGAGTTCTTGGGATCTAACAAATCCCTTACTTGGCTGAATGTGCATAATTTTCTTTCAATTTCTGGGAACATGGGAAATTGTTAATACAGATAGATATATTTTTATTTTTCATAAAGAAAAAAAAAAGGCCTTGATTCCTCTCGCCAGTGTTGAGGCGTGGTAACCGAGGTAATAATCTTGTCTCGAAAAGTTTATTTTTCACGTAATAAAATGGTGAAACATGAAAGCCCATAAATTAGAAATGATCAGTTCGTAAATTATATGTGTTGACTATTTCATTTTACTTGTAACTGACAACATTACTTCCATATGGAAAAATATTTCATTACATTGAAGTAATGACCTGACTACAAAGGGTCTGGATCTTCTGTAGTCCTGTGTGTAATTTAATGTCTTTTAACTTGTCATTAAAGATAGGTACTACATTCTAAAAATCTAAGATTTTCGTCTTGACTAAGTCAAGATAACTTTTTTCAGCAATTTTTATCATATTTAATACACTTATTGGGTGCCATTGTATACAGCTAAAATAAGTGAAAGAGTTGTGGTAAGATCAGGTTTCGCTGATGTTGGATCACCTTATGAACACTATATTTGAGAAGCACTAATGCTTGCCCTGCGTACTTAATGAACAGATTCCTCACCAGTCTTCATGCTGTGTCAGTGTACCCAGTTTCAGGGGCCTCTAAGCTCTTAAAACCTCTGTATTATTTCTTCAGTATTTTTTAAAAAAAGTATACAAATTATTTCAATGAAAAATATGTATAAAATGTGTCAAAAAAGTATTTCAATGAAAAATCGTCTCCTATATTATTTCAGTAGTATATATGAGTTTTATGGCTCCCATACCCAATCTAAAAATGAGGTCATTAAAGAAAGAATTTCATGAGAAAGTGACGAGTTGCACTTGACTTTAAAAATATGAAGCATTTGTTGAAAAAATCTAAACAATCATCTCTGCAACTCTCGGACAGCATTGTTAAAATCATCATCTTATTCTTCCTCATCTTCTCCATCTTCTTCTTGTTGTTCTTTTCACCGTTTGGGCTAGAAGGTCTGTTCCGGCTTCCTTCCACCATTGTCGACTCGTAATGGTCCACCAGGATCTCTTTTTCCAGCTGGTCGATAATGGTAGACCCTGAACTTTATTTTGTCGATTCTGGAGAACATGTATAGGTATTTTCGAATGTTTTCGTTTCTGAATTGGTCTAGGAGGATACAGCCTTTTACTGCTCTTAGAAATCTCATCTCGGAAGCTTGTATATTACTCATTTTTTATTTACAATACCCATGACTCGCTTTCGTTCAGTAAAACTGGTACTGCCACGACGGTGCTTTTTACATTTTTAATTGCGACTCTATTTTTGTCTACTTCGAGATCGTCCGTCATATTCTGCCGCACATTTGTTGGAACCGATGGAGTTTCATATCGATGTCGTTTTCATAATCGTAGCTGAAATTGCAGCCAAGGTAGTTAAAATGTCTTTTTTGTTCCACTGTTGAATTGTAAATACATATTTTCGATCTGACGAGGAATTTGCCGTTGAAAGTCATTACTTTACTTTTATTTTCCTGTATACGTAATATAGGGGAAATTACATGATGCTGCAGAAAATCGATTTCGAGATTTCAACGGAAATGCACGTTCTTGGTCCCCTGATACAGAATTCATCTTTTTCTTTTCTTTTCAAAACGTCCGTCTATCTGTCCGCCTGTGAACACCACCAGCACCTAAAGCATACGTAGTATTTTTCCAAATTGAAGAAATCCCTGTCCATCTGGCTCAAGTCGAAGCTTTGAAATTTTGAAAAAAAGTCTTAAAATTTGGGGGTACTCTATATAAAGCTCGCGCCAGACGTTTTAAAATTTTCTCAAAAATACTCCAATATTTTCATTACATTTCTCGTAAGAATAGAGTAAAATACACAGATGAAAGAGGCATAGGTCCTATTTTCAGATTTAACTTAATTTTTTTTTAATTTCAATATTGCAAGCAATATGTGCAATTTAAAAAAACTACCAAAAGTTTAAAAAAAGAGTCGTTTTTGAGAAAATCTTGTTTTTGTATTTTTTTAAGAATTCCATATATTGCTCGCAATATTGCGCGAAGACTATTAAAAATTTCAAAACATGTACATGACCTTAATGAAAGAAATAATTGTGCCGACAAATTTAATTTGAAGAACAATCTGAGGCTTTAATTTTGTAGTTGTGGAAAGATGCCAAAAAAATCAGTTTTGAAATTTTAGAAAATTCAGAATTAGCAGTGAAA